CTTTATTTATTTATTTATTTATTTTGCCAATTAGCCCGCTTTGTTTACTCCAAACGTTCCCCTGTTATTTGAGAGGCTGCCTGAGGGCAAAGTCTATTCTTCTTAGACCACATCCTCTCTGAAATCTACTGTACACTCACTATTCAATTTATTAGAAACCCCCTACTTTGTACATCCACTAACTGGCCATTGTATGACCTGCACATACCTTATAGGTCCACTGTGTAGGTGTACAGCTACAGACTGTTGCCCATTTGTTGCCCACAATCTGTCAGCTTCCCTTTACACCATTCATCACTGGTCATCTGATCTATGACCCCTGATAAATTGCTCTGTGCATTATGTTTTATGATGATGCCCAATCGGTACCCTGCATGCTTCTTTTGTAACATTGTATTAGTGGATCAGCATGGGAAAAAGTTGTTGCATTAGCAAATCTTGAATTGAGTTTCACCAATACTGATACCACCTTTAAATGGAGGATGCACAAGTCAGTCAGGAAGCCTTTTAGAGATTTTAAAGTAATCACTGCATGCAGGCCCAGAGAGAATGGAACGAACATGGAGCAATCCAACTATACTTTAAATTCTGTGGTTTGTTTGTTTTTGTATATTCTCTGTGTTGTGTATTTTGTAAATATGGAGTAGAACAAATGTGAATCAATTAGCTCTGTGTGGCAGCTGTGATTGGATACAGAAGTATTTGAACTGCGCAAGCATTGAGATGAAGTCATAAATACAAATTTAATGACATTAAAGGAGTCACCTTTCTCATTCTCCCAATTTTTGCCGTTCTCCCCATTTCTCCACACACTACCATGACTATCAGTGTCACCCCTGTGCTTTGCCAGACCAGATAACATCTGGTCAACAGCAATCCTGTGGTCCGAAACTGACCACTGCTGAATCGAGTAGAAGGCGCAGATATATTGTGCAGCAACAGATGAGCTACAACCAGTAGGTGTAAGCCTGCAAAGTACACCTATATAGTAGGTTTACCTGAAAAAAGACCAGTGAGTGTAGTAAAAGTGAACTGATGAACTGGCAGTTCAGTGTATATATATTTAGGGTCATTTGAATTGAATTGAATCCTCAGAGTCACACATTGTATCTGTCATGCTGTATCATATTGGCCCCACTGGTAGAAATATGTTTGCATTAAAATCCAAACGCTTTGTTTTAGAGTAAATGGCAAAGTCTGCACAATCTTCTGATCACTGGTTATGATGAATTAGGAGTTTGCTGGTCTTTGTTATTACCAGTCAGTTTCAGATGGGTTTCATCCCATTTCCCAGCAGGAGATTGGATGGTGCTGAAAGGTGCATGGATCAGCGTACATTTTTACAAACAGACGTTTGATTCCATGGCCTGAAGGAGCTCACAGTATTTGCCATCAGTCAGTCCTTGCACTTAAATCTCTTCAGCAACAACCGCTTCAGTGTTGGATTGGGCAGATTGTAACAGATCAATAAAAGCTCATGTCCACGGATTCCAAAAAAAGCACCTGATTTTAGCTGTAGCCTGGAGCTGCAGCTACATACTTGGTACAAACTCTCGAAGGAATGGAAAGATTTAAGAGATGCTGCTACAGGCCAAAGCCTTAGAAATAGTACTAAGACTGTTAGCCACACACACACACACACACACACACGCACACACACACACACACGGACACACACACACACACACACAGTGTATGGCAGAGGGGCAATCAGAGAGTCATAAACAGTCATTATAGTCTGGGACTGACTTCATTCATTGTCTCTACGAAACAACTGGCAAAAGTTCCCACTGTAGCACACTATCTTCTACTGTCAGGAGAGGTTCTCTGCCGCAGGCTTGTTTTCACAAGCAAAACACCTCCCAGAGAAAATTACCGTCATTTAGTTGTTATTCACTGGTGGAATTGTAGGAATAGTGAAAGTATTTCTCAGGTACAGTGAAATACACAGAGGCGGCTGTTTTCAGAGCAAAACATTTATAAGTAGAGCTGCTACCTTTCATGTTTAAAGGTGAATTCCACCAACAATTTTCTTTGTGGAGAACAAACTCACATCTCCACAACCACACATTGCCATTGTTGCGGGGGGGGGGACTGGTCCCTAAAAAGAGACACACACACACACACACACACACACACACACACACACACACACACACAGAAACACAAACACCAATTAATTTTAATTTATTTTACTGTTATTTTGGCTTGAATAGAAAGAAATAAAATATCAACACTGTGTGATATGGTGCTTAATCACTATTCGCTATATTAGAAAATCAAGAGAACTAGATTTTTTTAGAATGTAACACTATTTTAGGAAATGGAAATTCTCCCCTAATCACTCACTACTGCCTACACTGGATAACTACATAGAATGTCAATATTAGGAACAGAAATGCTTGCCTCCCCCAGTCACTACTCCCTACATTGCAACACTATATATACACTATTATATTAACACTGTTATAAAGAACAGAAATTGTATCTAATCACTATTCCATTCATTCGATTAGAACACTATTATTTGGAACAGAAATAGTTCTTAACACTATACCCATATATTGTCACTGTTCAAAAACAAACAAACAAACAGAAAACAAAACAACAAAAAAACAGGTATCTTGCATTTTTCTCAGTTTTATTTTTCAGCATTTTTTGAGGACAGCAACAGTCCTTTACATTAAATTGCCATTGTCTTACATTCAAAGTAAAGAATGTTTTTATTACACTGGAGTTCTATATAGACTACTATTTTAAAGAACAGAAATAGTCCCGTAATTTGACTATTTCACACAAAAAAATCAGAGCACTTTATAGAACACTGTTAAAGAGACAGAGTTTATAACCCAAAGTAAACAATTTTGTACATGATTTAGATAATTCTTGACGACAGTAGGGTCTTAAGAAGGGTCTTAAGTTCCATTTTAAATGAGTTTTAAATGTACATTCCCAATTCCAAAAATGTTTTTTACTGTACACTGTTAGAAATAAAGGTACTGTTCAGGTACATTTTTCATTAATCAAGGTGCAAACAGTGTAAATGTTCCCTTAAAGGTACAACAGTGGTTTTAAGGTCCAATTGTGTGCCTTAAATATGTTTTTCTCAGGTGAAAAGTATGTATTTGTACCTCTTTATAACCTAATGTTTTAAAACAGAACAAAAAAATAAAAGCCTGGAAATGAGACGGGGTGTGTGGAGTCTATACAACTTAGAACATATAATTGCAATGTATTTAGGTACAATTATGCTCCCTGACTAAAAGTACTGAGATGTACCCTTGAGGGTGCCACCCCAGTGACTAGAAGGGTACTGCCCCAGTGATAGTTTCATACCTTTTTTCTCAGGTTACAGGTATTTAATTGAAAACAGCACAAAGAAGAGATATTTAATATTTTACCTTATCAACTTTATTGATGTTTGTAAATACATGCTAATTCCACATTTGATGCATGTAACACATTTCAAAAAAGTTGGGACAGGAGCAGTGTGAGATTGGGAAGTTTGTGGAATGATTAAAACACCCATTTTGGAAGTTTCCACAGGTAAGCAGGTGATAAAGTAACAGGCAATGCTATCATGATCAGGTATAAAAGTAGCATTCACAAATTGCTCAGACACCACTTCACGAAAAACTGTATGAGTGAATAGTCCAATAGTTTAAGAACAATGTTTCTCAAAGCATGATTGCAAGGGTTTTAGGGTTTTCACTACTGTCTACTGTCCATAATATTAAAAGAAATCTGTAGAAATCTGTGTGTAAAGGGCAAGGCTGAAAACCACTACTGAATACCTGTGATCCCTCAGATGACACCACAATAAAATCTGATATGCTTCTGTATAACCGCATGAGTTTGGGAATACTTTGAAAAACCCTTGTTAGTAAACACAGTTTGTTGCTGTATCTACAAATGATGTATCTACAAAAAAGTTAAGACTCTAATACACAAAGAACAGTAACATCCAGAAACACCGCTAACTTCTCTGGGCTAAAGCTCATTTGAGGTGGACTGATGCAAAGTGGAAATATGTGCGGTGCTCTGACGAGTCTACTGCCACATGCCCCGTCCCGAAAATGATTTGTAAATCACTGCTTTCTGTCCTTCTTTGCTACACTACATTCAGTTTTTGAGGGGAAAGGGGATATTTGTACCTTTTCATAACCTCTTATTTTAACATAGAAAAATAAAATAAGGGCTTGGCATCAAGATAGGTTATACTGAGTCATTTTAGGAACATGACTGAATTATGATATCATACAATTATGTTTCCTAACTAAAGGTACTGAAAGGTACTACATAACCTTGAGGGTACCAAACAGTTTAGTACCTTTTCTTCCTGAGAGTGTGGGGGTCCTGGAGGACCTGTTTGAGAACCACTGCACATCGTCTGTACACTAGCTTCAACGGGGCATTTTGGGATTACAAAAATTATCCATTATGTTTTCAGACTTTACTACAATTTAGTTCTTTATGTAGCAAACAGGGCATCATTTTGGACAAAGCCCAAGTTTGGCCCATGTGGTTTAAAAAAACATTCAAGTTTTTCATTCTGTTACACACCTGCTTAACAGAAGTGGTTTTGTCAGGTTCGGAATGGCATGGGGGTCAGCTGTGGCTCATTTTCTCTTCCATTAGTTTTTCCGGCAGCAGATGAAAGTCCTTTCAGGAAGTCTGGCATGTCTTTTTAGCAGCAGTTACATCACAGTACACTACCATATGAGATCCATTCTTTTGAAGTGTGTCTGTTAGAGAAGTGCACAGACATGCTCCTGTTGTTCCATAAATGCATTGTTGTGTTAACTTGGGTCACATGGTTTTGTCCATCACTAGCTTTCTTTGGTTGAACAGAAGTGCACGACGGCCTTAAGGCACGCCTGGAAGAGAAAACCTAAGTATGAGTTATGATGTCAGTTGACATTAGCGAAGCTCTCCCCATTTGTAGCCTTGGTGACTGTCGCAGCCCATTTTTCTAAAATCTCTCTCTCTCCTTCTCTTTCTCTCTCTCTCTCTCTCTCAGTCTGGTGGCCACGAAGGAGCCCGAAAGTGCTCGGGGGAGAGCAGTGCCCATGTCTCCTTCAGATTTCCTGGACAAGCTCATGGGAAGGACCTCAGGTTATGATGCCAGAATTAGACCCAACTTTAAAGGTATGGCTAAGCAAAGGACTGTTTAACAACTAAATGAATTTTTTCAAAATTTCTGTATAATTAAATCATTAAGATGTAAACAATGTCATTCAGAGAGGTTTGAGGTAAAACGTTCCGTTCTAGAGAAACTTACCAAATCAGAATTGTTCACAGAAATCTCTAGGAAGTAAGCTTTTACAATAAACACTTACACCATCTGGGGTCTGAGACATTGTTTTATGATAAACCTGGCAAAGTCAGTTTCATAAAGCACAGATGAAGTATGTACTGTTTACTCCCATTAACATTAAACTACAGGCTTATTACTCAGTTATTAACTCCTTAAATGGCCAGGAGCTTCATTCCTTACTCCTATAATTCAAGAATAACTTATTTTCCATGTAGTTACTTAATTATGAGCCTTATGATATAATAAGCTTGAGAAATTAGAGGGATTAATCTTAAATCTTATTATTCTATGAAACAAATGTATAAATAATGTATTTATGACAGTGAAGAATTGAAGTGTGGATCCACTTATGGATCCTTTGAGTTTAATAGCTTAACCCCTTAAAATTCCAGGCTTATTACATACTAAGGCTTATTATTCAGTAACTATAGGGACAGTAACTATAGTAACTTGCTATTTAAGAGGTTAAAATGTGCACATATGACTACTGTTTGGACGTGGTGGCTTCATAAAATCAAAGGAAGGCAGAAGTTCAGTCAAAACTGTGATTATTATTGATTTGCTGCCACTGTCATATTTAGCAGAGGCAGAGGAGATTAATGATAATTTGGGTAGGTGGACAGACAATAATGAAGGCCAGCAGTAGAGTCCATTTGACCCAATAGACCGAGGTCACAGACAAGGACATGTCACACTGTGGGTTATTCCCATCACATGCAACACTGAATGTGAACATTTCAGTTCTTGTCTTCTGTACTTATTTGTTTATACACTGATGTCTTTGCACTGTTTGAACGTGAAACCAGTATGTGTAATTTCTGTATTTATTGAGTGGTCTTTTGCTACTGTAGCACCCAGATTTCCCTATGGGTACCAATAACATAGATCCTTCCTTCCATCCATCCATTCATCCAACAATTCATCCATCAATCTGTCTGTCCATTAAATTAAGCAAGGTCACATCATCCATAGCAACTTAAACCAAAAGTAATGAATTGTATAAAATTGAATTGTATTTTAGTTCTTGAGTTCATTTTTCCTTGAAATGTTACTTTCTTGAGTAGAATTACATTATAGTTCTTTTACGTTTACTTGAATTAATTTGCTATAAAGTTCTTTTACTTCACTACTTTAAGTAGCCATTGCAGATTAAAAATAAACATGCATTTTATCTTATGAATGGGATTAAAGAATGCTTGATAAAATTTAAAAGATTCAGTTCTGAACAGCAATCAAAATAAAGCACTGCAAACTGCCCTGCACTTCAGTCCTGATGTGTTCAGAGACATCAAGTTTAGTGAAGACAAAGAAAGGATAATGTTACCAGCACACACGAGGAACATACTTTATCCAATTTGTTATCATCATTCCTTTTTTTCTGACGAAAGAAAACAGCAAAATTATGAGCTGCTTCCTGAATCATGTGGAAATCTCCACTTTTCACAACTTCCACCCTGAGTAGGCTGGCTAATCATAGCTAAACAGCCATTATGTTCTTTTATTATTATCTTCTTGATTTGTTGTTTTAGAATAAATATGATAGCTGTTAATTCAACCTAAAAGCATACGCATCTTATTGTGAGTGCCTATTAGATAGCTGATGCAGCTAATGTAAGTTAATATTCAAGGAGAAGTAATAGGCTATAGGTCTGTAATTAAAATTATATTATTAATTGATCAATCTACCCACAACCTAGTAATTTCACCAAACCACAAACTTACAGTAGACAATAGACATCATTAAACAGTAACAAACCAGTTTTGTTTGTAAAGAATTATTTACATTTATATAACCAGGCCAAGTTAAAAAAATAAGTATTTGAGAAGTACTTGAGAACTTTGCTCCAACTTGTATTTTCCTTTGTTTATAGTTTTACCTGTTTTATTAAAGAATTAAATTGTATACTTTCTCTTAAGATCTCTCTTAAGTGACATCTTAAGATGACGTTTGTTGACTTTGCCTGTTTTACTATGCAAATATGTTCTTTTATAGAAACTGTGTGAAGTCAGACAAGCTTTACAGAATTTAAAGGAAAATCCCATTTAAACTTTTGAGAAACTGCAACAAAATGATGAAATGTACAATGTGTTGTAACTTAAAATCATTAGGTTAAATAAGATTTAGCCAATGTTCTGTAAAGCTTGTCCAAACTTGTAACAGCTGCCACGAAAGAAATCATTTGTGTATGGAGCGTGGATAGGCCAACTGGTAGATAGAGCATGGATAGGCAACAGAGAAATACCAAATAAATGAACTGATTAAGGTTATGCAGCTATGCTAGAGTAGGACTAGACCATATTGACATGCAGCCCATGAAACACATTATTATATGTTTTCAGTATATTCCAAAGTATAAATAGAATATACTGTAATAGAAGTTCAGTTTGTACTTTTTTATATGGGGCATATAAAAAAGGTCCAGCTCCACAGATGGATTTGTGGTGAATCAGTGAGAGCGGTGTGCATTGCATGTTCACCAGAATGTAGTGCGAGGACTTGGACATCCACTGGTGCATTCAGTCGAATCAGCCAAAATCAGTCCAGCACTCGCCCATTACATTCAGCATGGCCCTGTCTGAGTAGGTCCAGTAGTTTCATTCAATCTATTCAATCTGTGGCTGTAATGTCATTGATTCTTAGCATTCCTCTCCCTAAAACATGTTCACTTGGTGCTGTATTTGATAATGTTGTTGAAAGTATTTGACAGAAAATCACTAAGTATATAGTCTGAATATGGCTGTGTGAATTACTGTTGATTTTTTGTTATTTTATACACAATATTAACTTATTCAACATGGATTTTAATAATACAAACTATTCACCAAAATGCCTTTGCTGTTGATAAAAAAATTAGCACACTATGTTGCCACATGCCATTCTTAAACCATGGGCATTACACCTATAACAGCCTGCTCTCTTCTGGGAAGCCTTTCCACACAATTTTGTCGGGTATCTGTGGAAATTCGGGCCCATTCAGTCAAAGATTTGTGAGGACAGGTACTGATGTTGGACGAGAAGGCCTGACTTGCAATCGACATTCCAATTCATCCCAAAATTGTTTGATGGGGTTAAGATCAGAGATCTGTGCAGGCCACTAGAGGTCCTCTACATCAAACTTGTCAAAGAATGTCTTAATGGACCTCACTTTGTGTAAAGGGGCACAGTCATGCTGGAACAAGAAAGGACCTTCCCCAAACTGTTGCCACAGTTGGAAGCATAATTGTCCAAAATGTCTGTTTAATGCTGTAGCATTAACATTACCCTTCACTGGAACTAACGGGCTAAGCCCAAATCCTGAAAAACAGCCCCAGACCATTATCCCTCCTCCACCAAAGTTTACTTTTGGCACTATACATTCCATAGGTAGTGTTCTCCTGGTATCCAGATTCATCCATAAGACTGCCAGATAGCAAAGCATGATTCATGACTCAAAAGAACATATTTCCCCTGCTTCAGAGTCCAGTGACAGTGTGCTATCTATACATCCATCCATCCATCCATCTATCTATAATGCTTACTTTAATGCACTGTAGCAAGATTAACCATAAACTGATTCGTAGCAGTTCAGGCCAGCAAATGACAAACATGTCAAACCTAGTTAATGTATTCTTCCACTGTGTGTTCATGCATACAATAATGAAGAGTAGGGAGGGGGTTAAATGGCAAATACTTGACTAATTACAGATGACACTAACTGACTTTTTAGTGTAATTGACTAATTCCTAATTACATCCATCTCTATCCCCAGGACCTCCTGTGAACGTGACATGCAACATATTCATCAACAGCTTTGGCTCTATAGCTGAGACGACTATGGTAAGTATTTTTGCTCTTCTCTTCTGACACAAATGCAGGGTGATGTCATACATGTTTGCATGTCATGTTTGTATACACACATGTATATGCTGTGCCCCCCATGGCATTCTTATCACTGTAAACTTCAGCACTGACATGAGCAGCATGTCACATGTTAATGCAGAGGCCATTTAAGGCACTAATAAGCCTAAGACTAAAAATCTGCAGCGCGAGGTGGACATTGTTACAATCTCAAAGGTGAGGGTGTATAAATAATCATTTACAACCCAGGACAAGACTCAAGAGGAACCCACATATGATGGTACAGAATGATATTTGTTTATTTTTATTTGAATTTAATTGTAGAAACAAAAAAGATAATGGACTTACTATGAAAAAGCAATCAATTAACACAGGCTTACATAAAACTTACATATAATATGATAACTGCATAAAAAGCTATCTAACATGAAAAATCTGGTTGGTTGGGTGGGCAAATGGAGATATCAGAAGAATACTATATTACCCTGTTATTATACAAAAAGAGAACAAGAGAAATAACACAAACCCTCAGATGTTTATGCATCCTGAATACCAAGGGGTTTGGTCCAGTGAGGGGTTTTCCAGCTGGACCTGTGCTCCAGAGGGCTTTCCCAGCTTTGTCCCAGTGGCCGTGGCATGCAGCGTCCAGACCAGACCCCATCAGTGAAGACCCCTGAGGGCCGCCCATGTCATGAGACACAACAGTGTCACGCTTTATTATTATTTTTTTCCATAACCGCCATAGCGCAGCGCCTACGGCTCTACTCTTGGGTACTGGTTATGTAAGCCTGAGCTCCAACTCATCTGACCTGATGAATTAATTAAGCCACATTAAGCTGTTAGTGGGAAGGCTTAGCTGAGGCTGGTTTCAAAGAGACCATGAGCTGAATAACACAGAATAACACTGAATAACACAGTGCTGCTGAAGGTGCTCCTAGTCATTATGCTTTAATGACTTAAATGGAGCTCAGTGCGCAATGGGTAGCATTGATTGTTAGGAAGTAATTGTACAACAAACAACCGTTGCAGGAGGTTATTGAAGAAGATTAATGAACTGCTGCTCTCTTTCTCTCACTCCCACTCTGTCTCTCGCTCTCTCTCTTTCACATACAATTTGCATTATATGTACACATATGCATTATATTGTAAACTCCTATATCTAATAATGTCCAATATGCATTACATATACAGTACTTGCAAAAGTCAAATTTAGAGACCACCCGTTCATTTATTTAATTTCCAGTCTAAATGGACATTATTATTTTTCAGTGTCAGGAAAAGAGCAGAAAATATATATTTAACTTAAAATTACACAGAAGCCCCAAAAACTACATATAATATCTAATTTCAGTATTTATTGTGTCCATCCTTTGTCTTTAATACAGCTTACTGCATTTCAGGTGTCCAGTTTCAGTGTTTGGGTGTAAAGGTTCTTGCTGTCTGTTTCCTTTTTTAGTAATAGCTTCTTGGCAGCTACACATTCTTTCAGACCCATAGCATTGAGTTGTTTTCTCACAGTAGAAGGATGGACAGAAACACATTTTTTCAGATCTGAAGCAAGAGTGAATCTTGATTTTCTCTTTCAATGATGAAAGCTATAAGTACTGTTTATCTAATGGTGATAGGTTTGATGGTCAACCAGGTCTTGCAAGTTTGTTAGGAGTTCCATTTTCTCTACATCTTTAGTCATTTTTTTTAACTCCAACTTCGGAAACTTTCTGTTTGATTTTCTTTTTTCTTATGCAGGTGGATTATACTAATATCTCATCTCAGAAATATCTGCTTTAGTCAGTTTAGATAAACTTGAGAAAGAACAATGAAAGGCAGCTAAAGATATTTGGTAGGTGCTTGTGTGAAAGTGTTTGTTTGAGAAGACCATAATATCTGACTCTTTTGTTGGGAGGACAGGCAGAAGGGTGCACAAAATGAAGCATGGACAAAAAAATACTGATAGATTTGATCTCAGGGACAAATCATAGTCTGGGCCTTTGGGCAAAAGTGTCTTAACAAGGATTTAATAAACATCTTGTGTTTGTTTATATGTGCTTTGAAAAGTACTAGCCTATAATAGTCTATTGTTTCCTGAACAGTTATATTTCTATACATTTCTTTTAATTACTTTATAAATGGTTGCAGGCTATAGGCTAAAACCTTTTTTTGTTTATGTATTCATTAAATATTCAAGGGCCCAGTCTTTAAGATGCTTTGGGCTTTGGTCTTAGACCCCCTTGAAGTGCTCCCCCTGGTCAGCAATCCATAAAGCATGCCACCACTAGACTCTAGAGCAGTCCTCTCTACCTGGCAGTCTGATGGACGAGTCTGGGTTTGGCAAATGCCAGAAGAACATTACCTGCCTGCCTGCATTGTGCGAACTGTAAAGTTTGGTAGCGGAGGGATAATGCTATGGGGTTGGTTTTCAGAGGTTGGCCTAGACCCCTTAGTTCCAATGAATGGAAATCTTAATGTTTCATCAGACCAAGACATTTTGGACAGTTCTATGCTTCCAACTTTGTGGGAACAGTTTGGGGAAGACCCTTCTCTGTTCCAGCATGACTGTGCTCCAGTGCACAAAGCAAGCTCCATAAAGGCATGGCTTGGTGAGCTTGGTGTGGAAGAACCTGACTGGCCCACACAGAACCCTGACCTCAACCCTAGTGAACACCTTTGGGATGAACTAGAGCAGAGTCTGAGCCAGGCCCACTCGTCCAACATCAGTGTCCAACCTCACAAATGCGCTTCTAGATGAATGGGCAAAAATTCCCACAGACACACTCTGGAAGCTGTTATAGCTGCAAAGGGCCAACCAACTCCATATTAATGCCTATGGATTTAGAATGGGATGTCATAGAAGCTCCTGTGGGTGTAATGTGTAGGTGTCCCAATACTTTTGTCTGTATAGTGCATATTTAAGTTAAACATAGTTAAACAGTTGTACAAACATAAATTCATAATATTTTTCAATAAAACACAAAACTGTAGAAACATTGAAAAAAATGTAAGTATTATTCAGTACAAATTTAGTGGTTAGGGTTTGCAACAGTCACCTCCCAATAGAAAGCACCCTATAAATGATGATTTTGTATATATTTAGATTATAGATCATTTTTACTGTGGCACTGCAGTTTGAACTAATTCAGAAGAATGGCCCATATGTGTAATAATAATATGTATTATATGCAATGTAAATATCTATATGTAATACAACATTTTTCCTACAGTCTGAACCTTTTTGCCTGAGATTTATAAAAACACCCCCCCACCCCACACACACACACAAACAGACACACACAAACACATGCACATTTGCACGTATGCACAGCCAAGTATGCATCCCCTTATGGAGAATAAAGTGAAAGAACAAGCAGATGTGCTTGGAGGACATCTGTGCTAGTCTGACATTGTTAACTCCACAGTAGCATGTACTTGGCATACACACACACACACATACACACACGCAAACACACACTCAGTCTTGCCGCTGCCTCCCCCGGCTAGTTCTGAATAAGTTATATTCTTTGAGGGGACAGTAATTATGTTTGACGAGGCTGTGCTCTCTGTTCCGAATGGACTTTCCCTTTTATACAAATACTCCAAACACAGCACAAACGGCTTCACTGTTTCCTGAGACTTTATACCAGTTTGTTGTGATCTACATTTTAGATCCCAGCTGTGGGCAAAAAGTAGGATTTCTTTCTTTCATATACACTGAGGGGAATGTAATTCAATATTGTTGCACAGAGACTGTTTAAAACCATAACTTTCTTCAAACATTCCTCACAAATATACCATTGTCTATACACACATACATGAGGTCTGCATATATTAGTGAATATACAAAATATTTGTATATTTATTTTTCATATCTCTCATATATGACCATTCTACTGAATTAATTCAAACTGTGCTCCAACATGATCTATTTAAATATTTAGCTATTTAAACCCCTTTAATAAAGATGGTAATAAGCTAAAAAAAAGTAGCAAATCATCATTTATAGGGTACCAAACCCCAGGCGTTATAGGTTTCCCAAACCCTAACCCCTAAATTTCAATAACAATATAATAATGCATTAGAATGACTTTTTTGATGCTGTTTTTTGAAAGATGTTTTTGATTTATAGAGTCAAAAAACTAGAGAGCCTTATTTTAGCCACAGCCTTTCATTTTAGAGCAGTGAGACTGCATCCCTGTCCCTCACTACCACATGGTGAGCACATAGGGCTCATTGTTTTGATGTAAATGTGTCCCAAATTTAGAAAATCAGTGTCTGAAATGAAGAATCGTCACTACTGAAAAACATATTTTATGGAATTAAGCACAGTTGTGGGGGATTTTACTGAAAAATATTGTGATATTTTTGTATACAACTGTTCAAAGCTGTGTTTGTTAGTCATGTACTGCCTAGCGTTTTGAAGTTATGTAATGTAGTAATTTTGTCAGTTGTGCTACGATCATTGGTGTCTCAACTTTACTGATGTTGTTCAATAGAACAGACTGCATTTTGCATGTCAATATCCATACCTTGTTTGCACTGCAATGGTAGAACAACCCATACAGTATATCATGGAACTACATTCTCTGGAGTGATGCGGCACCGTCCATTACCTTTTGGATGAGTTTCAGTGATGTTTGTAGTCCAGAACTAATCATCCAACAGCAGCACCTGACCTATTGTGGCTGAATGCAATCAAATCCTCACAGCAATGTTCCAACATCTAGTACAAAGCCTTCCCAGAAGGTTAGAGGCTGTTACTGCAGGGGGACAAATGCCCTTGATTTCAGAAGAAACACTGAATGAGCTGCAGGACTTATAGTGTATCTATGCATGGATGTTTTAGGTATATGTATGCAAGTGAGTATTTCATATGTGTGAGTACACAGGGATATGTATGTATTTCATGTGTGCACATGTGAGAGAAGTTAAAGAAAGAAAAATAGCCTAAATGGCTCCTCACAGTTGCAAGAGTGTTTGAAAACACT